GCTTGATGTGGTATCCAAAAAGGCCACCATAATAAGCACTTACTAATTCATTGATGATTTAGTGCGCTACACAGGAGCGGCAACATACACTATCAATGGAGTGACAGCACAACGTTCGCTGCTCATGGCATGGGTTGAGACAGTAACTCAGGAATTCGTCCGATTGTGAGTTTTGTTTCTGCGATGATTTCATCAGTACTGACCGGATATAGGGTTGATTGGCCTCTTATCACCCACAAGCATGACGATGTAAGTGCCGAAGCTCCTGTTAATTGTATATTTTCTAACCGATCATCAGCTTGCTGCCATATTCGTCAATCGAATGACACGAGATTCTTGTGGAGCTAGCTTGTCGTATCAACTTGATACTGCTAGCTCATCAATCACGGGCTTCACACTCTCCGCAAATGGCAACACCTGCTCAACACCGCTCCCGGTCACTGTCCCAGGTTCAGTCACCGATACCAAAGGGGCCACTGTCGAGCAAATTGGTAACGACCCTGCAACATTGTGGGTCACTCTGTCTGGCGCACCTGTCAGCTTTACTCTCACCACACCAATTCCCCTAACGAGCAGCTAAGCACGCCAGTCTCACTCAGCATAACGCAAGAATAATTATGGTCTGGTCCCAGAAGGGGGACTAGGAAGGAGCACTTACTGCCAGTATTTTTTGCTTTGTGTTGTCATTTTTCTCTTCTTATCAGTGGAATGCGTTGTTACGCCATCACAGTTCTTGGGTCAAAAAGTTTCGTGCTCTTCCTACATACTTAAAGTAGGATTATCACCGTTCAGATAATGAACCGTTCTTTCTTAATGGGAAGCTTAAAATTCCATCTATCATATATCTAATTTGTTCTACGTCTAATTTGCCTCTTCCTCATTATCCAAAGCATGAATGTGACCGTGTTACGATTCTTTTGAGTTATCTCCTGCTTGATCAGTGAGCCAAGATGTACATCACTTTGAACGATGTGTCAATAAATTCAAAATATCGATATCACCTCCCAGATTAGGTTTATTGAATACCCTTGAAATAATTTATGGGTCCGGAAGATTCGGATTACACAACATGTACTTCTGTACCATGCATGCCACAATCACACAATCACACCGTATCCGTACCGATCCCCCGCAAAAAAAAAAGTCTCCTAGCTTACCAGAGCGCCTACCGCTTTTCTCTGCCGTCTCATTCGGATACCAATTTCTGGATACGAGCCGCCGCAGTTGTTTCATTGAATTTGGAATTTTTAAATGCGCATATACAACGATTCAGCGATCAGAGATTATTTTTCAACAAACGCAGAAGAAACTGCAAGCTAGAAACGAGGCATTAGACCACCCGCTTAGACCTCGGAGATCTACCCAAGTTTATTTTTATTTTTACGACTATGCATGGATACATGTGGCCAAAAACTCGGATTTTGCTTGGCGGTACAGCGGCTCGAACTGCCTAGTACCCAGGGGCCAGAACGCTACATCACTAGCATTCCAGCTCTTCCAGGCTTCGATCAAAAAATGCACACTAACATCGTCCCATAAAATGTATCACAGCCCCTGGAATGTCGTATCCATTACCCATAATACCACTGAGCATACGGGGCCAATGTGTCTGGAAGTCTTCGCCTAATTTTGCACTATTGTAATAGGCGTTCGATGCGATGAACACTTCAGGTTTCCATAATAGTGCAAAAGCTAAAAAATTCTACCTAACCTAACGGAATGTGATTTTAAATCGGGGTCCAAGTCGCTTGAAAATTGAAGGTTGAAACATATGCTCTTTGACCCTATCACCAAAACGGGAGACCCCTTCCGTTTCGGGAGGGCGACCCTTAGCGAGCTTGCACGCTTGGCGCCGTGTGGTTGGGGGTCAATGTGCGCCAAGAGCCACCTATGCTATACCCTATGGATTAAGAAACCCGAGGTACATGACATGAGAATCCTATTCTCATTTTTCATTATTGGAGCTTCGGGAGAGGGTGGGTAACTCCAAGCAAAGAAAAACATTACACCACCGCAATCCGCGAATGGCAGTGTAAGTTTTCAGCTTGAAAATTCGGTGACAGCAAATGCATAGGCACTGTAAGCAGTTTTACGAGGTTATTTCGTTTTCGAACTGGAGGGGATTACTTTTCGCACTTGATCAGCAGCTTTGAGGAGGCTGTGCGTATTGAATGAGATGGCGTTTTTGGGGTTACCCAAGGATTCACAGGGGGATTTTACTATATAGGATCGCCTAAGAGAATCTCATCATGACACGCCATGCAACGAAAACGTCGCTATCGAAGTGCCGCAAAAAAAAACTTCTCGCTGCCAAGATAATCATCTGTTGTTCATTTTTATTCTTTTCCAGGGTCCCAAACAGAGATTTTTTCTCCGAGGCTCTCACTACATCATCAGGGATATTTGAAGCTGCCTTGCGTCCTTGACGGCTGTACTGTCGAATCGGAGTACTGCCAGAAACGACATGTCCTCTGGAGGAGTATTCAAATCACCTCTCACGAGCGGCGAGATCGCCGTCAACACACCACTCATGGCTTCCAAAGAACAGAAACCTGTTAATCCACATAAGATTTTCACCAGGAAATGCAACATTATTCTTGGTTTAATATTCCTCTTTCTCCTGGCAATAGGCTTGGCTCTGGGCCTGACATTCGGTTTACGACATCACGATTCCTCGCCCTCAGAACCCACTCCTACTTCACCATCAAACCCGCTCCCTCCTACCAACGGCTCATTTTGGACCCCGAATCTCAACGCTTCCAATACGTGGAACATCGAGTTACTAGCGGCGCTCGATCCCGCCAACATTTATCCGAACACAACAATCTATGATATCGATCTCTTCCTTTCGGCCAATACCACCCCCTCGATAATCAGTACCTTACATTCGCGATCCCACAAAGTAATTTGTTATTTCTCAGCCGGCACCATCGAGAACTTCCGTCCCGACACGAGTCGCTTCCTTCCTTCCGACTATGGCAAAGTCCTTCCTGACTGGCCAAACGAATATTGGGCTAACACTTCCTCACCAAATGTGCGCGCCATCATGCAATCACGCCTGGACATGGCGGTCAATCAATCATGCGATGCGGTTGATCCCGACAACGTCGATGGGTATTCCAATGACAACGGGCTCAAGCTGACAGAACAAGACTCTATTGATTACATGCAGTGGTTATCGGCTGAGGCCCACACCCGGGGTTTAGGGATTGGTCTGAAGAATGCTGGCGAGATCATCGATCGTGTGGTGGACTATGTGCAGTTTGCTGTCAACGAGCAGTGCGTGCAGTACGAAGAATGTGACACATGGCAGACATTCATTGACAATGGTAAGCCCGTATTCAATATCGAATACCCCAAAGATGCACCCAAGGTTAGTTCAGCGGAAAAAACAAAAGTTTGTGATGGTTCTGGCATACAGACGGATGGATTTTTTACCGTCATCAAAAAGATGGAGCTGGATGATTGGGTAGAGGCCTGCTGAATGGCTCTTGGCGTTGCAAATATACAGGGAGGTGGATTTTAAGTGGAATGTAATACTTTAGCCTGAAAATAATACGATGTGGCTGAAAGAAATCGTGTACCAATGAAGCTTCGCACATGCCTCCTCGTAGCTATTTTAATCCTTTGCATGCTTAAATTAAGCATGTCAACTAGATAATTTAGTCGTTTTCAAACAGGTGGCAGAAATTGCATGGCATAAGGAAACATAGTGGAGTCAGAGTAAACACTCTAGACTGCCATGATATCCGAACAAATCTCGATCTTTACATCATTCGAGCGTCTGTGAAAAAGTACATGGGAGAGTGAAAAAGTACATGGGAGAGTGAAAAAGTACATGGTATGATGAAAAGTACATGGGACTGTGTGGGAATCCCTGCGAAAATCCCCAAGTTATGACACATAGAAACTCAGACCGCAGACGAAGACTGGGATTGGTGCGGCAGCTAACTATATTTCACCATAAGCAAGCAATATACAAGAATCGCAGCATGTTCTCTTTTGAGCAGGTTCTTTGCCTGTAGGATTCCTACCCAAGTTAGAGCTTCACTTTGGACACAAATCCTCTTGCCTAATGTACATCTGTAGACACAACATTAGGATGATGATGTGCATAAGCCCTACAGATCAAATGATACCCTTTGCGGCTCTTCATTTATCTCCGCAGTAGTATCGACTACTGATCAAGGAACGAACCTTCCTACTCTAGGTGAATATTGGTTGCACAATAAACAAGATTGGACGAAAGTGGATAAGTCTGGCATAAACGATGCAACTTTAATCCGACCAGCATGTCGGGCGTATCGTTTTGGACCCTGTCGAGCTGCGACGAAAAATACAAGGGGTCCTTACGATTGCGGGGTATCCAAGACATCCTGACATCGACAGGCGAGAAAGGGTGTTATGATTTACAGAATCGCTGCAGGTCGAATGCAACGACTCAGCTGGGTTCCTGATCTAGGCGTTCAACCTTACTTTTGTGGGTGGCGAGATAAAACGGTAATTGTGAAATTTTCTTTCCCATGAATCTCGCTTCGCGTTATGGCCATCGATGATGCAAGTATTTTGTGGAAACTTGGAAAGACAACTGAATCGGGTAGAAGGCCCGCTCGCAATTTTCTATACCCATTGTGCCATATTTCATGATTAACGCTGAAGAATCCGTGATGCTTATCCCTTTAGGATGATTGTTTCCATCCGTGCAGAACCTTAGTCTCAGGGGTTGCCGTCTGATCGTGTATTCGGTGGAAAAATATTCTCCGGAATTAGCCTCCAAAATGCCACATAAAACTCAGGATTCCTGTAGACATAAAAATTTGTAATAAATTTGCCAAGAGACTATAACCCGTATTTTTGGTTTCATTATACTTTCTAATGCTTCCCAATGCTTCCGTCAAATCCGATATCAAAACATGACAATTAAACCCAAAAGTTGGTCACCAAGCTCCACCAAAAAAAAAAGTAGATAAAATGAGATTTCTGTTGCAGATCCTGATTTCTTAGGGACTAACAGCCCGGATGAAATTTTCCCAATGCTCCCCCAAGCCAGTATAGAGTTCTGTTGCCTGACTAGTGATATACAATGTCCCCACAATCGACCTCAGCTTTTGAGTCTCCGATGCAACGTCGGAATGTGTGGACATCAAAGATTCTGGTACAGAGTGCATCAAGCACGCCAAACGTCCTGGGTCCATTTTAAGATCCGTGAGGGCTTTCTCGCAAGCATTCTCCCGATACGTCTGGTGAGTTGCTTCAAACACCACATTGATATCTGGTAAACATTGTCCGGACATTAGTTTCTTGTGAGGGACGGTTCCTGGATTGTGAATGACCTATTCGGGAACGATCAGTCAGTATTAGTACTAGCACTAAAGTATATTGGGAAATGCACGCACAAGAGGCTCTGCTCCTAGACCAGAACTGCCTTTTACAGCAGCGTTAATGTTTGCTAGAAATGTTTCGTTTGAGGCGGACCATTGGTTCGGCGTTTCATCGAAAAATATGCCTCGAACGCCGAGCCCATCATCTTCGAGCCTCCAAGCGGCGTAAGTTTTGACATCTTCTAGAATGTCGGGATATTGCCTGGTTGCATATGCAGTAGAGACATAGCCGACAACCGTAACATTAGGATATGAGTTTAATTGTTGGATTTCTCTTCGGTAGTTACTATCGAGTGATTGTCCAGGGCCATTGTGAGGATTGACCACGATGATGAATTCAAGACCCGGATACGTAGAAATGCTGTTGTTCAGTCAGCCCCAGGATCAATAGTTCCAAACATGCCGTCGCTCTCCCCGACTTGCCTTTGAATTAACCGTCCCCATGCACCAGGGGAAGGGTAAATGTAGAGGGGGACGAGAACCTTCGATTTGGTAGGTACCACTGAGGTCTTCTTCTTGAAGAACATCGTCAATTAGGTATGCGATGATGAAATAAATTTACAGGATTAGGCTGCTGCAACCTAACTTCCCTTTCAAGATATTCTGTAGATGTCGCAAAAAGTCCCTAAACAAGGAAGGTAGCCTCAAGCCTCTATATCGAAAGGTTTGTAGCGGCTGACTCGGACGAGGGACTTGCTTTTGAAATTGCACTTCAGCAGTCTTGAAACAACCAGTGTGGCCCAATATGGCACGCAATGTAATCCCGCAAGGTCTTGGTAGTAGTGCGCGGCTGTAATACAGGCGAGTATTGTGTTGTAACTATAATTATATACGAGCGTTAGCTGAGCGGTCCAGGCCAGTGGAAAAAGGTATAATATGAAGACGTCTTGAGCCTTGAAACCAACGCATTCAAATACATCGTACCTAACTTCTGCAAGGATTCTACCGATAATATGCCTGGCTCAACAAATTCTTCCACAAATTCGGGTGCTTCCACTCCTGAACTACTCTCTTTTGATAATGAAGACAGTGCTCTCAGCACTCCTTTAACAGAAAAATCCTTATTATTAGACGTTAACGATATCGATTTTGCAGTTAGAAATGCAGTTAGAAATGCAGTTAACGATCAATGGATATTGGTCGTCGGTGGTTTAGGGTTCATTGGTAGTCACACAGTCTGGGAACTAGCCAAAGCTGGATACAATGTAATGATATCACCCACAATTTTTTTGGGTTTCGCTAACAACTTTTTAGGTGGCTATCATCGACAATCTCAGCAATTCGTTTTTAACTGTCTTCGAAAAACTCCAGTTGATGGTCGATCAGCATTACAGTGCTCAGCGCAAAAATGGACACCGACCACTACTCAAATTTCACGATGCGGACTTCAGGGACATGAACAAAATGACAACGATACTGGAACAATATGACTATCCAGGCGTAATGAGCTTCGATTCGAGTTCGGTCACTCTTTGCAATGGTCAAAGATCAAGTATCTCCGGCGTCATTCACTTCGCCGCATACAAGGCCGTCGAAGAAAGTATACAACAACCCCTCAAATATTATTCAAACAACGTTGGCGGCCTGGTCGATTTCTGCTCTCTGCTGGAGCAATTTGGGATCAAGAAAATGGTGTTCAGTTCTTCCGCAACGGTTTATGGGACAGTTGCGGATTCTGGGGTGCCACTTCGCGAAGAATACGTGGTGGGGTCAGGATGCTCGGGTCTCACAAACCCCTACGGACGCACGAAATGGATGTGCGAAGCAATCCTGAGCGATCTCGCCAATTCCGATCCCGATTGGGAGATCACTGCACTGCGTTACTTCAACCCGATCGGATGCGATGAATCAGGCTTGCTGGGCGAAGACCCTCGGGCTGCCGCGACGAATTTGATGCCTGTTGTCTTACGGGTGCTCACGGGGGCTCTGCCTGCGCTGAACGTGTATGGTGATGATTATGATACTCACGATGGTACAGCTGTGAGAGATTATATCCACGTTACCGATCTTGCGCGCGGTCATTTGGCAGCTATCAGCAATCGACCAAGTGGTGGCTTCAAGGTCTATAACCTCGGTACTGGTCAAGGATACTCGGTCCTTGATGTGGTGAACGCAATGGAGAAGGCCACTCAGACAAAGATCCCTACCAATATCGTTGGCAGGAGAGGAGGAGACGTTGGCAAGTGTGTAGCACTAGCGAACAAAGCAGAGGAAGAGTTAATGTGGAAGACGGAGAAAAGTTTAGACGATTGCTGTAATGACCTGTGGCGATTCTTAGAAGGAACCTCAACCACCAAAGGACAAGTGTGTTGATGAGTTTGTGTCGGCGACTTTAGCGATTTTTCTTTACGGATTTCTTGGGGCAAACTTTAATTGCGGAAAATGTATCTAGTATTCTCTTAAATAAAACGTGTCGGGGGCTTATTATATATATAATATAAACGGGATTTGATCAAGCTCAGCGTCGCTGTGGTGTATCTGAGATAAGGCTGCTTACATAACCTGAACCACGTGCCCCTCGACCGTCCATCAGAATGAGTATCGATTCTTATATTGCATGTGTGTTGCACGCAGAGCCTGAAATAAGGGAGACAGCTTGTTGGAAAGCGCTCTCGAGGGCGTGAGGGTGCGTTCCGCGTATCCCCTCTTCCTTTCTTGTGAGTATGTAGTTTTCGATTATACATGGTTTTCCATTTCATCGTGCTCTGTGCCCTCAAACTCTTTCACTAGGTACCTAGGTACACATAGTAGTTTCAGGCAAAACAAGTAAAAATCAAATTATTGCAAGATAGAGTTACTTTCAAAACGAAACAATATTCTAACTTCTCTTCTAGAGACTGAAGGCATGTTAAAATGTCTAGAGTATTGCAAAGTTCGAGAATGTGAGTCTGAAATCTAGGAATTCTCTGTAACTGCTCCTCTTCAAATGAGAGGTACGATGCTCAATTTACACTGCAAAGAATGCGCACCTGATCCTCATTCTTTAGTAAAACTTTGCCGAAAAAGCCACCTACGGTTCCAGTCTCACGCATGTTCATTCTCACCGCGGCATTCAGGTAACGTTGCGAAGCTACACGTGAGGATTGTTACATACAAGACAGCGGAGCAGAATAGCATCAAAGTAACGTATATTGAGCAATGTTACAGAGAAATGCCAGAAATGGCTCGTGAGTAAACTATCTACATGATTGGCGGGTATCATCCTTTCTTACGCCATATGCAATATGCACCGTCCCGACCTGTATCCTCCGCTTTTATTCTCCCTTTGATGCAAATCCAACAGAGGCAACCCAAAATGCACAAATTATAGTATACAAATTCATCAAACATACTTAATATACAATGACCATTCAATAACATTCCGTTTTATTGTTGTTTAGCCTAACAACCAGTGTTTAGGGCTTTGCGGAGTGCTTCTCTCATTTGTCCACAATTCGGTGCTTTCGATTTTCTTCTCGAGTTCCTGTTTGCTCCTGCGGATCAAGGGTGGATTATATTGTTTGGAGAACATGGGGAGCTCAAATTCATTGCGAGTTATGGATGGAATCCACACGGCTCCCATAGAGACCTGTGCTATAGGTGATGGCTTAGGCATCCAAGTCTTCGCATTGATGAGCACGGGGGGTGGGGCTAAGTTGGCTGAGGTCTCAGGAGCACTTGGGGTCAACACTGACTTCGAACTTGAGGTGTCAGACCAGCAGGAGGTATGAAGCCAGTCAATTTCACTTTTGGAAACGAAGCTCGATGCGAATAGCTGTGATGACTCGAGCCTTGCCATATGTGCATGGAAGGAGGTTGTCAACTTCTGAGGATGCGAGTCATTGCTCTTAACAAAGATATCTGGACGAGCGATGGCAGCCACTGGAGTTACTTTCCAAGTACCGGTGGATGCTTCCATTGCAATCTGTGGGTATGCGCTCCACAACTTTTCGGCTCGCGATAGAGGCTGATCTAGGTCAAGTAGCTCTTCAGAAGTTGTAGAATCTAATTCGAGCATATCCATTATCTCAAGCTCAAGTAAGTCTGATCCTGCATCGATCAGGAACTCGTCTGCAACAGAGATATCAACCAAGTCCTCTTCTGTCATAAATTCATCTGCAGCAAGTAGCTCGGCAATCTCCTCTTCGGTAAGAGTTTCTACATCAGTCATCAACTCCTCGAATGTAGGCTCTCTAGGGAGTGGTGTATCATCGTCAACTATTGCTTTTGCAACAAATTCTTCGACCATGGACTCCACAGAAGATACACGAAGCCAATCAATCTCTGGCTGTGACTTATCCTTAGGCGTGAAAAGCTCCGAGGACTCTAGCTGTGGGAGAATGCATGAATGAGTAGCAGATATTCTCTTGGTAGATTCATACATTAAACTTGAAAACAAGTCCGGAGTGGATGACCCATTGGCAGTCCACATCGTAGAGATGTTCTGCGCGACGACGGGTGAAGTGATAGATGTACGTAGCCAGTGAATCTCAGGCTCACTCTTTTCCAATACCTTATAAAGTTCTGTAGATTCAAGAGATGGGAGAAGTGAAGAACGAGCACTTGAAGGTCTTTGGATATGATCGTGCTTCAAGTTTGCAAACATGTCCGGAATATACTCGGCGGTTCTTGTCGATGATTCCCACATCAAAGCATCACTCTGGTTAATAATCTCAACGGCAGGCTTCTGGAATAGGAAATTGTGGGTGACCTTAGGCTTGCTCGAAGAATGTAGCCAACTTCTTGAAATGAGGGAAGCTGAGGATGGTTGCCAAAGCTCATAAGATTCCAACGTAGAAAATTCAAGATCCTTTTGCGCAATAAGTCTTCGAGAATGGTCGAGTGTTAACATCTCAAATTGTGGCTGAGTATCGCAAACAGACTTTGATGGTTCTGTCCATAGACCACTGTCTACGACTGACGTCATGCTTGTCGATTTGGGGACCCAGAGACTAAACTCAGAAATTGGATAAGAACTTGTGATGGTGCAATGTCCGATGCAAGAAGGGTGAATATCCATTGTAGATGAAATGAGAACATCAGCGAAGAAGACCGGGTGCAGAAGAGCAGAATCGAATCTCGGATCTTGAACATATTCCAAGGCCGCAGGATAAACATCGCTGGCACTCGAAACCATGGATTCTGTGAAGAATTCTGGGTGAGGAGGCGAAACTTCATAGCTAGGAAGAACACTTTCAGTCATTACCACAGTATCTCTCTGAAACTCAACAACATCAGACCTCTCTAATTCCTTCGGAATCCCCGCAGCAATAGCCTCTTTCAGCGCGTCTTTCCACATAAAAGCAAACACCGTTGGACGTTGCACACGTGTCGTATCGGTGTGCACAATTTTTCCCAATGCGCGATCCCAATCATCAACGCTCGCTGTGAGACATAGAAGTTTTGTGTGTCCAACAGCAGCTGGATGAATATTGTCCACATCTGAGACGAGAGTTTCGGTGAAGAAAACAGGGTGGAGGATTGCGGGATTATAGATAGCGGAATAGGTTGGCCCGGTGGTATTTTCTGCAATGGGTTCTATGAGGTC